GGGACAATCTACCTTTTAAAAAATGCAAAAATTAAACTTTAATTTTTCAAAAATTGTGATCAAGGAATAACTGAAATGCTGGAGGATATTTTTCATTTGTTCCAGTTTGTTCTTCTTGAGTGTGATCAGTTTCTCTGGCCTGGGTGTGACAGGTTTGACTCACCTGTAGCTGCAGGACATGCCCTCACTGGTGGAAGGCAAAGTTACAGAATGTTACACAGTCCAAAACATCAAATAAAGAGCAATCATTAGCCACAATTAAAGTTAAGTCTGGTGATATTCTATGTTTTTCTAAGCCAACAATTAACGTATCTTACAGTCATTGTGTGTGTACTGTATCCAAAGCATGATATATTTTATTCCTATGTGCCATAGAGCTCCATTGTTGGTCAAAAATGTAAAACATTGAGCTACACTGTAGCACTGGGTGACATGTTCCTTATTTACCACTGTCCTACTGCCCCATATATTCACTAGTGCATTAAATGTGGATTAATCTGCAGCTGAAAGTAGTCCCCAACAAATGCAGTATTTACTTGTGTTTGAGTTATGTCTGATAAAAGTTAATGTGACTCCAGCTGTTTTAGGAAATTACTGAGCCTTAAAAAAATTTAACTCTAATTTCGTGAACGTTTTTAATTAAACTTATAATTATAATAATAATAATTTGTCCAGTGTGTAGTGGCATTTAGTGGTCTTGAGCGCAGCATCTGTACATATAAAAGGCTTACTCTAAAGTTAAAAATATATTATGCGATTCCTATATTCAGGTGATTATACACTAATGAAACCATACCTATGCATAACAAATTCTGTTTCTGCCAATAGGTCGTCCTAAATGTTACACACTAGACCTTTTAGCAAGAAATTTTGCCTGGGATGACAGAATAGCAAAAAGGAATAATGCTTGGTAAGTATCTACACCCCTGCATGTGGATGGCAAACACAATGCAAGTGCTATCTGATTACAATAACCCAAAACTAAGTCAACTATATAAGGAGTGTAAGAAGATACCAATAAGCTGCTGAGCTTTGGCAGTTCTCCTTCACAATACCACCTGCCTCAAGGAACCAAACAGTAATTTGATATGTCACAATTTATTTTAGTTGTCCTTTATTTAACAGAGACAAAGCCCATTATTAAGTATTTACACAGTATGTTCCTTTAGTTTTCCTTTTTGATGCAGAAAATACAGCTTTGAGAGTGAATTTTTTGTTGTTTTTGAATTTTGTTAATTTAAATAAATATTTGTGAATGATAGGGTTGGGCAATATAGTTGTAATCATTATTATCATTATTATGATATTAATAAGGATTTTTTAATTGTATACTGTATTTGTTGAACGTTACCAGCGTTATTTTTGTTTGCTGTATATGGTCCATTCTGACCATTCACACCTGCAGTACTTCTCTTCTCTCGCAGGTGTCAGTAACAACTTAGACATTTCTCCAAATTAAAAAAATTGCCTCTGTCTCCAGTCGGGGCTGCAAATCTCAGGATCCGCAGTTTATGTTTAGACTGCCCAGTATCGGGCACAGAAAAGTCAAGACTGCCCACTCTTGTGAGATTTGCATTGGTTCCCGTGGGTCGACAGCATCCCAATCCCAAAGCAATCTATAATGCGAGACCAAACTCTTCATATGTGTAAAAGAAAATAATAAAAAAAAAACTTAATCTTTTCATTAGCTTTTTTTACACCTTGCTCATTATTTGGACAACATACATTTGTGGAATGATAACATGACAACATCATATCATCAATGAAAGTTATAAGCAATATTCAAACATCTCCCAGCCTTTGTTATAGACAATCACAAGATACATGTGTCATTTTGAAAATGTTTTTAATAAAGAATGATTCTTATTTCATTTCATTCAAACAAAAGTAGTTCAAAAGAGAATAAGAAAAATCTTTAAAAAACTGCAAGAAATTGACAAAATATTCCTGAATCTGGATTAATAACTGACCATAATGACTCAAGTTCTACTTTTCATCAAGTTGCTTTGTAAAACCAAAAAAAAAAAAAAAAAAAAAAAAAAAAAAAAAAAAAAAAAAAAAAAAAAAATATTTGTCGATTTGATGTGTTCTGGACAGCTAACAAACCACAAACAAATGAACAGAACAGAAACATGACCTCTCTGGCTGAAGTCATTGGACACCAAATGAGGTTTGTGGGTGCATTCAGTTACACACCACTTAGCGCAAGTTTACGGATGACCCAGAGTAAGATTAGTTTGTATGCTAACAAAGTACTCCTAAGTACAGAACCAGTTTTTGAATGTTTATTGTCTTTACAAGAAACGTCAGGTATCCAATTGAGTTCTCATTCCCTTTGACTTTGCTTTCTTGAAAATCACTCTCCTCCACAAAAACTTTTACCGCAAGGGGAATAAATAACAGTAAAGACTAACAAGAATAAACTCGGGCCCAGCAAAAATGCGCACTACATCCAATCGAGTGGTAGGATCGGAGGGGCGACATCTTGTAAGACTCTGTCCTTTAGATGCTTTCGCTCCGCCTTTGTGCCTCATGAGCAACTCGATCCAAAACATGGCACGGTCCCAGGGTGGGTTTCATGGCTGATCTCCTGTGCCGGATGGGACAGGGTTGTCATCCCTTTCTCTCTGTAGGTATGGTTCATAGAGTAGCCTTCCTTCCAGTTGGCTCCCAGGAAGTTGTCCTTTGCTTTCACCAGTTGGCAGTGTCCAGGACTTTGGCCACACCTCTTGCTTCAGTCCTGAATGAAGATTGTCCTTGCTGGTCACTTCACATTAAGGGTAGGCCGACAAGACACGCCATGGTAGAGTGGCCTCCTGTTTATTGCGTGTCTGGCCAACAGTCTTGGTCATTGGGGTGACCCAGGAGGTCATGGGTTTGAGGCAGCAGTCCAAGAGTAAGGCTGTCTGTTGCCGAGGGTGAACTGGTTTGTCCATTTGTACCTCCCAGATCACCTTCTGAGGAACGTTGGGCCCCAAGAAGCAGCGCCAATGTCTTCCAGCCCATGTCTCAGGAAGTTTGCCAGCCAGGTTCGCCAATGTCGATCCAAACCAATGAATACCGTGTTCCGCGCGATCTGACAAAGTCTCTAGTTCTTTTAGAGAGGGGCTTTGAGGGTTTGCAACCTGAAATCCTGAACATGTAGCATGTGTTTCGGCAATTGTGGGTCGCGGAACTCAAAGATAGAAAGTGCAAATTTCTCATCCAAAGCCCAGAATGTTGCTGATGGAACAGCGTCCATATATGTACTTTCACACAGCTCAAAGCGATTGACAAATGGTTTGTAGTTTGGGTCTGTTTACTCCAAATTTGGAAAACGAGCTGAGAAGTAGTAAAGAATGTTCTTCACCCGCTGGGGAAACGTCATCTTGTCCGGGTCAGCTCCCTGTCCCCCTGGAATTGGAAATAAAGGAAAATGGGTAGGTGCAATTGGCTTCTGCCCTCACTCAGTCCACTCACATTGAAGACAAGTGGAAGAACCCAAATCGATGACCCAGAACAGCCCCTGCACAGAATTGCAGGGTCGTTAGTACCAAATCTTGGATCGCGGAGGCTCCTGCATCAATTTAGTATCTCAAAACATTTCCCCTGACCTTGCAATCACCTGCTTATTCATCTGATAAACCACAATTTCCACCAGTTCATATCCAGAGATACTATTGCGAGTCCAAGTGAGCAGCGACCTCCCGGCCGCATGTCACCATTGTGGTGTACAAAATGACGCCAAAGCCTTTTTCATCATCAAAACGCGGCAGTGGGAATTTATAGTGATGGACTTGTAGTGAGGCCTCTCTGGCTTGATGTACCAGCTGTCCTGATGGCCGCCAACGACTGTGATTTCACTGGCTCCCCTGATGTGAAGCTCCTCCCAATGAGGACTTTTCATTGTTGATCCAATGGCTGTCCATCCCAAAAGGAACACCCAAGAGTTTCGCCTCCCATGTGAACGCGAAGGGTGAATAGAAGAGCAGCACACAAGTGCCACCCCAAGGGTCGGTCGGCGGGCATCTCTGAAAGAAATTTGACAAGTGATGTAAGGAGGTTAGATGCTTTAGTTTTCAGGTGGCGCGAAAATTTAATGCATCAACTTATATAAAAGACTCAAAAATAAATAGGAAGAGAAATTTTCAGCTACTTCGATATTGTTTGAAAATATGTTGTGCCGACTATGAGAGAGATAATGAGGATATTTTACTGAAGACTAAGGTTTTTTAGTCTGGAACACAAAAGCTGATGATGATTGAACGCTGGCCCACTCCCCAGTCAACTGACTGTGGTTTCAGATAAAGAAGTATCCTGCCATCCGAGTTCCTCAAGACCCCTTAGCTCCTTGCAACCTGTGATTAAATGAGCCTGTCATCTAGAGTGTTTTTATAAAATGACGGATTTTGTTGGCAGAGGGCCGGAACCTTAAGAAATGAACCGAAACTGTAGATTCTCTCAGTCTTAGTCTGAAAAAACATCCACCTGACGGATTCAGTGGAGGCTCACCCGGCATTTGGAAGCTCCTTAGTAATTTTCGCTATGTCTGGTAGCCGGTGGTTAGAATGGTAAGATGAAGATATTCTGAGTCTAATATATTCCATATATTTTTCATAAGGTTTCAAAGTCTTCTGAGAGATGGTGATTCATGGTCACCATCAAAAAGCCACTGAGCAGAGTTTGTGAGTAGTCCAAGCTTCCCATGAAAGACTTAAGGGACTGCTTTATAGGCCACTGCCTTATACGTGCCAACAACCAAGGCTGTAGCAACCTGAGAGATTGTGGGCTGTAAGAAAATAAGGCATATAAAATTGTGTTCTACGGCAAATTCAATTTTAATTCATTTTGATGGACAGTTCTAGAAAGCAGGGTTGTGATGCAGGAACGAAGTTTTGTAAGTTTGATAAAATAAAAATTAAGATGATGCCCCTACTCACATGAAAGGGGCCCCACGTTTTTCTTATTTCAAGTTGTACCTACTCCTTGAATATTTACGTCCCTTCACATGCCCATATGGCATGCTATGGTCTTACATTTTGGATCACTTTTGGCTTGTCCACACCGATTGTCGCGATATAGACGCTGTGTGGACATGGCCCAAAAAGAGTGAATAAAATTGTTACATCACTAATATCCCGTGTCGCTAATGCCCGCTACGAAAGTATCAGGTTGAATTAGCTTTAATCATTTATTTCCTAGTTTAATCAATAAAGGAATACCGAGCCAACATGTTCTCATGATTATTGATATTGGTTGTTGTCGTGTGACTGCTACAGCACAGCCCATTTCCTGGCTCTGAAATACGCAGCCTAAATTGATTAGTCTGAGAGCAAGTACTTAAACTGTTAAAAGATCCAGTACACAGTGCAGCCCAGCCAGCAGCTATTTTCGCTTATTCTTCTGTGGGCAAACTGAGGGCAACACTGTGCTGCAAGACCTTGCCATAACTTACACTTTTCCTACCAGCTCAGTAACAGTTTCCTGATCACACCAACTGCAGCAGGGTGGGGAATTTCCGCCAGCTACTACAACGCGCAGGAGTTTCACCAAAAGCTGTTTGGCATTCAGTTCCGCTGTCGCTCCAGGTTTCACCCAGCTTTTGTGTTTATGTACATGTTTTGGCTCCCAGTTACAACGATACGGTGTCCAATAT